TAAATTAAAATCGGGGACAAGTTCAGATCGAATGAGTAATAGAATTAGATCGGAGACAAGTTCAGATCGAATGGATAATAGAATTAGATCGGGGACAAATTCAGATCGAATGGGTAATAGAATTAGATCGAGGACAAGTTCAGATCGAATGGGTAATAGAATTAGATCGGGGACAAGTTCAGATCGAATGAGTAATAGAATTAGATCGGAGACAAATTCAGATCGAATAAGTAATAGAATTAGATCGAGGACAAATTTAGATCGAATGCGTAATAGAATTAGATCGAGGACAATTTCATATCGAATGGCTAATAGAATTAGATCGGATACAAGTTAAGATCGAATGAATAATAGAATTAGATCGGGAACAAGTTCATATCGAATAGGTAATAGAATTTGTTTGGAGACAAGTTCAAATCGAATGAGTAATATAATTAGATCAAAAATTGAGCGTGATGATTTTTATCATCTAATTCTCTTGATTGTCCATCGCCAGATGATATAGTTTTGTCCGCCAAAGATCTGGATTTACTCACGGACAACTGGATCTTTATGTTATTCTGCAATAGAAGGAAAAAAAGTTCAATAATCCTGGTAGGTGAAGACAATAGTGCTCAACTAATCTGTGGACCAAAATAGATGATGAGAAATCTAAATAAAATTCAAAACCCTTAAACGAGAACAATTGGTGGATAAAATGTGGGATTCATGATAATAGAGCAAGATGATGAAATCGGAGACAAGATCTAGACGCAACAGAGAATTTCCAATCGAGGACAAGATATCGAGACAAAAAAGAAAGTTAATTGTTTAGTTTCAGGAGAGATCATGTTTCTCGGTTAAAGCGCACGTGTCTCGAAGGAGGAGAGATAAATAGGGAAGCAAAACAGTTCAGAAAAGTCAATTCGTTCGCTTCGTTTTACGTGATAACTGCTCCAACAAGTGAGGGCAAAAACATAACTTCGCAAAGACAATGTGGTATGATTAGAAAGATTTTTTCAATTGTGATAGATTAACAAGAAATTGGAAAAAAATGGCAATTGTCTTAGTTTTCCCAACTTTTTTTTCTAACTAATAATAAAATAATTTAGCGAAAACATTTTCTTCTACTACCACCACTATATATTGTTACTTCTGAATCGATAACTTTTCGAATCTTCTCTTTCTCATCTTCTCCGTTCCTAGGCAATCTTTCATCATAGTGACGCTGCCAATAAATCTGCATCTCAGCTTTGTTCTTCTCTGTCATCTTCAGCATCTGCATCATAAAGTAAAAAATTAGGTTGTTAATTGAAGACGGATACTGCTTAGATCAATCAAAACCAACATACCTAGATATATACAGATTTTATATCAATATAACGAATATGAAAGTGGAAATAAAAAATGATGTAGCTCATAAATGGATCATGCCGATTGGTACACTAAAGAATTAAATAATTGACTATTTTTTACAAGTGGTTCAATTTAATAAAATAATAATAATGATTAGTTATACGGCCAGGTCCAAGTTTTAAGTTTTTCTTTCAGGGTTTGACAAAGTGGGGAAAGTCTTTCACCATTTGACAATTATTGTCAATTTCTGACGAAAATGCCCTTGTAGCCGAACCTAGGCCTGGGCATAAAACCCGAAATCCGAAAACCGATCCGAAACCGATCCAAAAAATCCGGAACCGAACCTAAACCGAATAGTCACAAAATCCGAACGGATAATGAATTCTCCTATCCGAATTACCCGAACCGAACCCGATCCGAACCAAAAACCGAAAGGATATCCGAAAACCGGAAATAAAAATTATATATCCAAAAATATTAGTTATATTTAGTTGTAATTTTATAGCAAATAACAAAAATATCCTAAATATCCAAAATTTAGTTATATTTGGGAAAAATTATACATATTTTTGCAAAATTTAACCAAATTTTAGTAAGATTAAACTAATTTTTATTAAGATTGAACTATTTTTAAGTTTTTTTTCCCGAAAACCGATCCGAATCCGATACCTATCCGAACCAAAACCGAACCGATGACTCATAAAATCTGAACGGATAATAAATTTTCCTACCCAAATTATCCGAATCCGAATATATCCGAACCGAAACCGAACCGAAAAATCATAAAATCCGAACGGATAATAAACTCTCATACCCGAATTATCCGAATCCGAATATATCCGATCCGAATCCGATTTGAAATCCGAATGCCCAGGCCTAGCCGAACCGGTGTACAGTGACAGCGAACGAAATCGTCAGGCGAGTTGGTTACGTACACAATATCTCGTTAGCTACAGTTGTTTAGTTTTTTAATATTTCCGTCGGGTGTACAGTGTACCGCGAACGAATAAAAGAAATAAAATATGGTGTCAGAAATGGTTTAAATGCTGAAAAAGTTGAGACATGACTCATTCCAACTATAATCAATGCAAACTCATCATTACATCTTATTTTAATCTTCTTAAATCATAAAATCGTACACTGTTTAGATTTTGTAAAGAGAAATAAGAAAAAACATAAACTTCCCCTAAATATCTACGAAGGAATGAGATTGAGGCCATTTTGATCTTGTTGTTTAACAAAGTTTTCCAGCGAGAAAGCAGTGACCGTGGTAAGTAATGAAGTTGTAAATATAAATTTTAGTTATTACATACACTTTCAATGAAAACAAAATTGATTTGGATACAAAACTGCAGAAAATTGATATATTACTCTCTTAATTCTATATTTGTTCTGTAGTAAATATTAAATGAGGAGATTCAATGTGCATTAAGTGTGTAGTTGCAAAGTCTTTTTTTAGTTGGAGGTATAAAAGTTGTTCTCAGTTGCATTTAATGGGGTTCTCCTGAATTTATGATACAGGATGTTAATGGAGATTCCAGTATTTATTATGGTTGGTGATTGGATAGTAACAGAAGAAAAATGGAAATTTGAACCTGAGAAAGGAAGCTATGGTCGGTGTGTACGTGTTAGGGAAAACATGACGTACACGGATTTGACACGTACATTATGTGAGGTTTTCAATTTGAAGTACAAAGAATGGCAGCCAATAATTAGTTACTGGATGCCGGGAAATATGTCAATTATGATAGAACGTACACGCCCTCCTATCTACATTGACAATCAAATGAGCTTGGATACATTCTTCCTGCTTCGTGTTGGGGATCCAAGTGTCAACTTGTTTGTGTCTTTCAGTAGTACTGTAGCTGCCACTAATGCGGATGTAGATGACCAAACTGACGTACATGATGAAAAAACAAATGAAGATTCAGAGGATGAGGAGAACGAAGAGGTAGATGGGGAAGAATTGAATGACAGCGCTGAAAACATTGAAAAAGATGACGATGTCAGTGGTGGCTATAGTGCGGGAAGTACTCTCGACCCTACTATAGACGGCAGTGAAGGTAGTGGTGAAGATTACGATTTCAACAAGTGGAATGATTTGATTGTAGAAGAATATGGAGTTGGCCATGTTGAGGAGGACGTCTGTGACATTCCACCGACTGGAACCGGCAGGGGAATTCAGTCGTCTATTGGCAGAGTGTATGACCACAAGTCAACGTGTACGTACATGAGAAACCAGTGCGAATTTGGGTGACACTCAGCTAACTATGAATTCAACCTGGACGTGTCAACATGGATTGCTCCAATGTACGTACACTAGAGAATGTGTACGAGACACATGATGCGAAGGTGAATTTGTTACGTATACGGTAGTGGTAGTGCCGAAGACTACATTACAACGAGTGGACTGATTTTAGTGTTGAGAAATATGGGATAAGACATGTCGGAAATGTTGATGACACTCAACTTACTATGAGGCTAACATGAAAAATTCAATTGATTATTAGAAATGTGTACGTATACTAATTAACATGTACGTAATTGATAAAATGTCGATCATTTTGGAAAAATGATGACATTCAACCATTTGTGAGTCATAACCAGGAGGTAAGATATGATTTTTGGAAGAATGTACGTACATTACTAACTATGTACACGAGAAAGTATCTGACGGTAAATGTTTGACGTACACAAATGCAAATTGGCATGATATATGTAAAGTGAATGGTAATTGTATGGATTTTGCTCTAGTCTTCGATGATTTAGTAAATGCCCGAGTTGATGAGACAAAAGTATAAATTAGTACGACAAGAGAGACATTGTTTGTTGGGAGTGTATTTAGAAAAAAAAAAATCAAATAACAATGGCATCATATCTAGTAGAAGCGTCATAGAATACATCTCCGCCATCGCCAATATTGGTTTATTATTTTATCAATAAATTTATCTTAACAAATTTAATTTATCTACAAAGGTGTACGTTCATTATTACACGTGTACGTACATAAGTTTTTCAGAAATATGAAGAACAAATATTCTTTGACTATATATTTTTTTAATTATTATATATGCATGTATTTTATTGAGATATACGAATAAGTAACAAAATGGCTTGATTTTGGAGTCAAATCCTATAATTTTTAATTTTTTTGTAGAGGGTGGTTAGAGATTTATTACAACCACTTTAATATTATACCATATACGTTCCACTAAGAAACTTTCGTGTACGTACACCGTAAATTGCATATACGTACAGAGAAGAAATTCTATAAAGGGTATAACTGTAATTTTCAGTGATCTTCAACCTGAGTATATTTTTCTGCAACCCTAATTTTTTTGCCATCGTTAACAGTTATCTCATAATCTTGTTTTCTTTACGTTTTGAATGTTTTTTTACATATAAATCTTGTAAATCTAGCATATTTTAAGTTTGAAAAGGTAAAGTTGAGTCTCCGGAAATTCGTTGCATTTGGCTCGTCGCCGGAAATATGAAATTTATTTCCACCTACTCGACTCAAAAACTCTGAATCGAAGATGAATGAGAGACTATTCAGATCTTAAGAAAACGATTATCAGTGAGATTTTTGAAGATGAAAAAGTTGAGATTTTTGAATTCTTTTACTCTTTCTGTTTCTTTCAATAATTTTTTTTTTCTCACTTATAATGAGACAAAGAAAAAGAAGTACAAACGTAACTAAATGATAATAGTTTATGGTTAGGAGCATTTTGTTCAAAAAAACACAAATTGTTAAATGGTGAAAGCCCAACTTGACTTTGTCAAATGGTGAAAGAAAAATTCAATTCCTTACTAAATGTGAAAAGTACCCACCACCAAAGGTTATTGACATTTCCGAGACGCATCACCACAAGCTCACCCTTCTCAGGGAGGAGAAGTATTTCGGCTGTGATGCTAAATGTCACAAGATTACTGGTGCTGGGTTTCCATACAAATGTCATGAATGTGATTTATCCTTCCATATAGATTGCGTATGGAATCTATCAGAGGTAAATTACTCTTTAGAGGTAAACCACTCTTACCACTCCTTACACCCTCTTAAGCTCCTCATGGGTAGATCACCGGATTATTCTGATGGAAATTGTCGTCTTTGCGGAAGAAAGGTTGATGAATTCTTTTATCACTGTTCACTGTGGATCTGCGTTGTGTTCTACATCCACCACAACAATCTCTTTTGAATTTGAAAGCTCATGATCACCCACTTACCCTTCTCCCAAGACTCGATTCTTTTACATGTAATGCTTGCGGTCTAAAGGGAGATTGAAGCCCTTACGTATGTTTCCAATGTGGCTTCATGATCCATCAAGACTGTCTTCATCTTCCACGGGTCATAAACATTAATCGGCATGATCACCGCGTTTCTCGAACTTCTGTTCTTGGTGTTGTCAATTCTGTATGTGGGGTTTATCGCCAGAAGGTGGATTGGACTTGTGGAGGTTTTTCTTGTCAAAGGTGTCCCGCCTATGTCGTTCATTCGAAATGTGCTACTAGAAAAGATGTGTGGAACGTGAAAGAACTCGAAGGAGTACCTGAAGAAACAGAAGATATAGATCCATATGTCGTAATAGACGACAACACAATACACCATTTCAGCCACAAAGAGCATTACCTAAGACTCCACATTAATGTTATTCTATGTGACGACAACAAGCGGTGCAGTGCATGCAACCATCCCATCTGTCTCCAGTCCTTCTACGGCTGTATGGATTGTAATTTCATTCTCCACCAAAACTGCGCTGGGTTTCTTAGAATGAAATGGCATGTGCTACACAATGAACGTCTTACTCTAGTTACAAACGAGGCTAAATTCTTCCATTGTGATGCTTGTAGTAGGATGTCCAATGGTTTCAGATACCAGCATGAGGATAAGACATTTGATGTTCAGTGCATTTCAGTTTCTGAGCCATTTTTCCATCCAAGTCATCCCAATCATCCCTTGTATAACATTTCACTAGATGGAGAGATTGAGATTTGCAATGGCTGCAAGAAGCACCGTCATAATGTGCTAAGATGTATTGAAGATGACTGTAGTTTTTTCTTGTGCTTCAAATGCGCCACTCTACCACAAGTGGTAAAACATAGAGTTGACAATCACCCTCTCTCACTATGTTATGGCGAAAAGGCTAGTGGTAAATTCTGGTGTGACATTTGTGAAAAAGAAACCAATCCAGAGATATGGTTCTACACGTGTAAAGACCACCGAGGTAGTTTACATACAAAGTGTGTCCTCGGAAAATTTTCAGGGCTCATGCCAAGAAGCACAATAGAGTTTTGGGGCAATTCATTTGAGGTGGTGCTCAATAATAGTATATCTCGTCCATTTTGCAGCTGGTGTGAGTTGCGTTGCATTTTTCCTATCAACTTTAAGAGACTTGGAACATCAGATGAATACTTTTGCTCTAAATTTTGCACTACTTATTACTAGGCACTTTCGGTTACTTGGATCAAGAATACTTGCACACAAGAACATTCAGCGAAAAGAGCGATGTTTATAGCTTTGGGGTAGTCCTTATGGAATTGGTTTCAGGTGAAAAGGCATTGTGTTTTGACCAGCCACAGAGCGAAGAAAATTTGGTGATTTGCCTAAAATATGCTCTGAAAGAGAATTGGTTATATGAAGTTATTGATAAAAGGGAGGAATGCAGTGAATCACATGGACATTCAGAAAGCAGCCTTATTGGCCGTTAGGTGCACAACAGTGAAGGGAGAGGAGATGCCAAAAATGAAAGAAGTAGCTGCTGAATTTGGAGGTTTGAGAGCTCCGGCGAAAAAAAGTTTGTTCGATTAGTATCCAGATTTTAAATGTACATTTCCTTTATAAAAGCTGGAGCACTAATCTTATCTATATCTTGTGTTTTGGTTCTCTTCTTGTTATTTTTTTTCTTCCTTTTTTCTTGCGCTATTGTTTGGTTGTGTTTGTGATGCTTGAACTAGTAATGTTGTCGTCAATTGTCTATAGAGCTCTCACCAATGAAACTCTTAAGAAAACTTTCATTGATAAAAGTTTCTTCAACAGTACAAACTATCTCATATTTTCTGGATTCTGGATCTTTAGATAACTCATTGATGGTCTCCTGGATAAAAATTTTAATTTCTGATCTTGAGTTCTGATCATGTCCTTCTCAAGAACTTAATTTTTTTGAAAGGATGTTTTTTATGTCTCCTAATAAATGATATTGGTATGACCTTTGCAGATATTGGTTCGTTTGAGACCAAAAGATAGTTGCTGTTATGACTTGTCTTTGTAGGACTGAATTGGTTAGTTGATTTGTCTTTTTTTTTTTTTTCCTGGACTCAATCTTAATGTGGGCTTTAGATCAATTTTAAGTTTGGCTCCAATTCACGTTTTTAATTGGGATCGGTAATTATTGATGATTTACCAATATATTTTTGATTATAAAGTAATGGAAACGTTCTTAACCTGTATTCTATAAAGTGAACATCACTCAAAAGTGATCAGATGGATAAACTAACTGAACATTTTGATTAGGTTAAACGCAGCAATAAACATTGCAGGACATGTAACCGGTGTGTCGAAGGGTTTGATCACCATTGGGTAAGGTTTTTGAGGTTCTATATACATAAGTTTTCTCTGTCGGTATGTGGTGTATTCAGTGGCTTAATAACTGCGTTGGGAAAAAGAATTACACGACGTTCATACTCCTGATGGTTTTCGTCTTGCTCATGGTGTGTATTGCTCTCTCAAGTACCTAAAAGATAAACCTCAAAAATTCTGGTTTATTGAAATAATAATATAGACTTGCTTTTCTTGCAACAGCTAATAATAAAGGTAATAGACTAGCAATCTCTGGATCCATATCTTCTATCAATTCGTTGTAAGTAGTGGTTTGTTCACAAGGTTGCTGCTGTTCTGTGGTTTGATTCATAGTCATCACCGGAACATTGTCTTGTTCCTCAAGTTGTAGTTGAGAAGCCAAGTTTCCGACCACATTGTCTTGTTGTTGAGTCTTTCTTTATAATAGGAACCACTGAAAGATCATTGTTCTGATGATATGGCTGATGACAATAATGCGGTTCATCTACGGCTTCATTCATCATAACTTGTTCCGGCTTCATTGTTCTGATCATTTTTATTTTTGGTCTCCACGTTAAATAATAATGAATTTATAGTTATTTAAAAGCATTTATTACAAAGTAAGAGGATGGGCTCTGTATTTGGTTTGGAAATTGAAGATGGTTTAGATTTCTTTTTCTGGCTTTAATCTCTAAACCTCTACCAAAAGTTACATATAATGTAAAACATATATATTTTTAATACAATATTCATTCAAAAGAATATATATATATATATATATATATATATATATATATATTACAAATGTATAAATTTCACTCAAGAGTGGTTTAATTTCTTCGAAAAGATGCGTTTGATTTGATAAAAAGCACAAGACACGGTTTCTTGACTCACGCATTTCAGTAATTTCCATGGAAGCACCTCAAAAGCTGAGCCCTTTTTATTTTTAGGGCCCTTGAAAATGGAAGTAATCATCAAGATTTGGGTCCCCTAATACAGAGCGGGTACAATTATAATTTATTTCCAACGCCAAAGCACTGTTCTTCGTTCTTCGTTGTAGGCTTGTAGCTATGGAATCTTTTTATGAAAGTACCCTACCATCATGCTATGCATTTAGATACACAAAATCTTGCTTCTTTATTCATCACATCAAACTTTTTATTGAGAAAAAAGGAACATGCGAGGAAAAGTCTTACAAATTCGATGGAAACGTACGCCATTAAACGACTTCAACGCTCAGTCAAGAGTTCTCTTATAAAACCTTGCATACATATTACAGAGGCAGAGGCAAAATCTCAAAGTACAATGAAGTTCTTGGGAGAGACATTAGTGCAAGTTTCGTTGTTGGCTCTTCTATATGTTGCTGGTGGTTCTACGGCGGCGTGGCAACCAACTCTTGACTGCCAAACAAAATGTGGCAACCTCACAATCGAGTATCCTTTTGGCACTTCTCCAGGTTGTTACCACGATGAAAGCTTTCTCATCACTTGTAACCAGACAGGGACAGAGCAAAAACCATTCTTGAGAAAAGGCAACATTGAAGTTATCAACATTTCTCTCAACGGGGAGCTACGCATCTTGATGAATAGTTCCCGTGCTTGTTACAACAAGACGGGAACACTTATCGACTATCAAGACCATCATATTCAACTCACTCATTTTGCCCTCTCCATCAAGAACAAGATTACTGCCGTAGGCTGCGATTCTTATGTCTATCTGAACAATATGGGAGTAAGAGATTCCTCAACTGGATGCTTGTCAGTTTGCAACTCCACTCCACCAAATGATGGATTGTGTTCTGGTGATGGTTGCTGCCAGACCCCTATCCCTATTGGAACTAGCTACTTCGCGGTAAAACCATACAGCTTTAATAATCACACCGACGTATTTCAATTTAATCCTTGCAGCTATGCTTTTCTTGTTGAAGATGGTTCTTTCAACTTCTCTGCCTCTAAAGATCTTGTAAACTTGCGGAACACTACAAGATTCCCTGTGGTAGTAGATTGGTCCATTGGTGACCGGAAATGTGACCAAATTGACAACAATAATAGCTCATGCAGAGAGAACAGCATTTGTGTCAATTCTACTAGTGGATCTGGTTATACCTGCGAATGTAAAAAGGGCTTTGAAGGGAATCCTTATCTTGGCTGCCAAGGTTCTCTCATATCTTACCTTTCTTACATTATTTGCTACTGGCATATATATTAAACTCACTGTCTTTTCATTTTTCTTGTGCCTTAATTGCTCTCTCTTTCTTCTTTGTATTTCGCCAGACATCGATGAGTGTAGCAAGGATAAACATACATGTGCCAAGCAAGAAATATGTCACAACAATATTGGATCTTTTCATTGCAAGAAGAGACAAGAATTGAGTATAATTGTTCTTGGTAAGTTGTTGGCATTATAATATTTCCTGTGTGTTTTCCAATTATATATGTCGGCTAATGTTTTAATTGCGAGGCTCATATCCTAACCACATATAAAAATTAACTATAACCAAGAAGCATCATTGTATTCTTGATCTTCCTACTTGGTGTATGTGGCCTAAAGCTAAAACTTGAAAGCCAAAAGCACACAAAACTTAGAGAGAAACACTTCGAGCGAAACGGTGGCATCATGTTAAGACAGCTACTCTCGGCAGACTCATCAAATGAAATCAAGATCTTCATTGAGGAAGAAATCAAGATAGCAACAAATGGTTATCATGAGAGCAGAATGCTAGGCAAGGGAGGCCAAGGAATAGTGTACAAAGGGATATTGTCAGACAACTCTGAAGTTGCCATAAAAAAGTCTCTTCCACGAATCGGTGATCCAAGTAATGCCGCTCATCAACAAATTGGTACTCAAGTAGCGGAGTTCATCAACGAAGTGATCATCCTTTCACGAATCACTGATACAAAAGTAGTGAAGCTCATTGGTTGCTGTCTAGAGACTGAAGTTCCCTTTCTGGTCTATGAGTTTGTGTCCGGTGGCACCCTCTCAGACAACTTGCATGGTTCTAAATCTGGTTTTTTTCTTCAATGGAAGGATCGGTTGAGGATAGCAACTGAGATCGCTACAACTTTAGCATCACTTCACTCAGCTCAAGTCCCAATAATTCACCGTGATGTCAAGCCCACTAATATCTTATTGGATGAAGAACTCTCTGTAAAAGTAGCTGATTTTGGGGCTTCCAGGTTGGTTCCAGCAAACAAAGAACAACTAACAACACTAGTACTAGGTACTTTCGGTTACCTGGATCCAGAATACATGCACACAAGAACCTTCAGCGAAAAGAGTGATGTTTATAGCTTTAAGGTAGTCCTTATGGAACTGGTTTCAGGTGAAAAGGCATTGTGTTTTAACCGGCCACAGAACGAAAAAAACTTGGTTATTCGCCTAAATTCAGCTCTGAAAGAGAATCGGTTAGATGAAGTTATCGACAAAACAATGGTGAATGGAGTGAATCACATGGAGATTCAGAAAGCAGCCTTGTTGGCGGTTAGGTGCACAGCAGTGAAGGGAGAGGAGAGGCCAAAAATGAAAGAAGTAGCTGCTGAACTTGAAGGTTTGGGAGCTCCGGCGACAAAAAGGTTTGTTCGATCAGTATCCGGATTTTAAATCGAAGGGAGTAAATGACATTTCCTTCATGAAAGCTGGAGCATCAATCTATCTACATCTTGTGTTTTGGTTCTCTTCTTGTATTTTTTTACTTGCTATCGTTGGTTATCTTCTTTGTGATGCTTGAACTATTATGTTGCCATGACCACTAATTAACCTGCAATAGAATATCATCGATTTGCTAGAGCTCTCACCAATGAAATATGCATACGAATACTTCCTAATTTATGATTGAGGAAATAGTTTAGGATTTCCATTTTCTTATTTACTTTTCCTAGAGTATTCTACTTTACGTTTTATTATAAATATGTGTTAGGTTTTGTTTGTGAAACCTATCTAAGCAATTGAGAGCTTTGGAGGATTCTATCGGGTTAGGCCGAGGAAAGGAGTTTATACTCTTGTTACTTTATTGTTCTATCTTTCTATTATCATCATAAAGGTTTGGTTTGAATTGGATTCTATCTCTAACAATTGGCCTGACCTAACGACGAATGCCTAAAGAATGACAAAGACAAGAAGAACGCTTGGAAGAGTTAGAGAAGAATCAAGAGATTATGAATACAAAAATTGATGGGCTGAGCTCTAAAGTGGATGGTATTCATGCAATTCTTGAGAAACTTTTGATGGCTTCTGCTGAAAAGAATTCAGTTACAGAACTGCCTTACGACCTTGGAACATCATCTGCGACCAAAAGTAACGCTACGGAGCAGCAAGTTTCAGCTGAAACTTCTCGCGATCACAACCCATGTGCTGTGAAACTAATCGAAATGCCGAGCTTCAATGGTGATGATCCACCACTAGGATGGCTGGCAAAATATTTTGTTTCTATCTCTAACAAAATATTTAAGAAAAGAAGAATATGTGAGACATTCATTGATAAAGAAAGTTCCTTCCACACTACAAACTACAGTAAAACCTCTATAAATTAATACTCTATAAATCAATAACCTCACTAAATTAATAAATTTTTCCGGTCCCGAGTTGGGACCAGTGTAAAATATGACATAAATCGATAAATTAATAAGATAATAATTTTTTTAAAAAATTTCATGTAAATATATGGTCCCATTTATATCATAAATTAATAATTGTATAAACTTATCTATATATATATATTAAGTTTAATATATATATATATGATATAAATTTATATATGTCATATATGAATTACTATGATATATATTTAAAATATTCTAGGTAAAAATTTAATAAAATATGATTCTATTATTCGAAAAAAGTTTGTGTTGTTTTTTAAACTTAATAATTACTTTTCTACTTGTAATTAGTTTTTAAAAGATATTGCTTACAAAGAAAAAATTTATTTTTAGATAGAAACTTTTTAAGAAATTACAAAATTAGTTAAATCTCTCTATAAATTAATAATTATTAATTAATAATTATTAATTTATCGATAAATTAATACCTTTCTAAATTAATAAAATTTCATGGTCCCAATATTATTAATTTATAGAGGTTTTACTGTGTCTTGATAGTTGATGGTCTCCTGGATGATGGACAATAAAACCTTTATTCTCTTTCCTTAAGATTTGCTTTTTTTCTCATGATAAAAAGAGTTCGTAGATATTGGTTCGTTTAATAAGACCAAAAAATAGTTGCAAGACTTTGATATGATTTGTCTTTTTTTTTGGACTGAATCTTAATGTGGAGTAATGCTGATGAATCCTCCACTTCATATGGACTTTGGATTGAAACTTTCTTCGTTCATTGGATTTTTGTTGAAATAAATAAAAAAAAACTCCCACTTGCCCTATAAATCCGGAAAAGATTCAGATCAAGATTTATATACTTATAAAATTCTAATTCATTTGATTAGTGTGAAACAACATGTGATCATACACACTGGGATCGGAAATTATTGATGATTTAGAAATATTTTTTGATTAATAAAATTATTATAAAGTAATGAAGACGTTCATAACCTGTATTATATAAAGTCAACATCACTTAAAGTAAAAACGTAACAGTGTGTTGACTTTTCGATATATTTTTCCTCTTTCGAATCCGATCCAAACTTGTTAATTGTCGATTCTCAAACCGCACAGAATTTCAGTTCCGGGGTAAAGTGAGATATCCATTGCTTTAAGTTCGTGAGATTTAGCTGAAAATGAAAATGGCCGGATCCGTTAAGTTTCATTGAGCTTTTAACTTAAAACCAACCAACAATGAACGAATTGAATAATGTTCTTTATATATCACTTTTGGTACCATCACACATTCGTGGGACTTTTAACAGGTTTTTCTTCGTACTTAAATTTTGGGTGTTCGTTGATTAGCTCTAACTGGTGGACTCTGATCATAAGTTTGTGTAGTCCTTAAGGTTTCGGTTTTGATCTGTGTTTAGTAAATCCATGGTTGATCTTATTTATAAATAACAAAAGATAGCCAACTTGTGGACGTAGTAGTAGCAGCCAACTTTATAAATTCCCTCTCATCGTTTAAAACTAATCAAAATTATTAATCATGATTCATGCATAAAGTTTAGTTCCAATACAAATTTTGAATTTTTGGTAGGAAAAACTTAATTTTGTTTGAGTTGACTCCACATTCTAATTAAAAAAAAAATACATGAATTTTTCTTGCGTGTTAAGTCATCTTAAAATCATTGAAAAGTAATACTCCAAGTTGACCATTTATACTTGGCCTCAAAATTGGCTTCATTGTGCAAGTTGTGATCTTAGTAAGTTGATTGGGACTGGCAACTTCTGACTTATTATTTATTATCATAAGTGTAAAGTAATGAAGAAGTTCACGACAGGTATTATATAAGTTTAATCAATTTCGTGTGTGTTACTTAAAGTGCCACGAAGAAATTTTGACTTTTGTATTATATATGTCCCCATCTTCGAATCCGATCCAAGCTTGTGAAAGTTTCTCTGCAAATCTTGTTGCTCTGCTGCTACAACAATGGCGCAGAAACAACAGATTCTTCACCAACAACGACCATTCTCTTCCTCTCCTCGTTCTTATTCTTCAATCTCAAACCGTCCCATCTTTCTCCTTAGCCGCAACGGTCTCCTCCTTCTCCTTCTCGCTCTCTTCCTTCTCCTTGGTGTATTCTTACCCTGGCCAGGATCTCCTTTATTGCTATTACCAAACAAAGTCTCTTCTCCTTCTAATGCTACTTCTTTGTCTTCACAAGCCAAATCTGAATGGCGCGACTATACCCTCGCTCAGGCCGCTAAGTTCGTGGCTAAGAACGGCACTGTGATCGTCTGCGCCGTGAGCTCACCATTCTTGCCTTTTCTTAACAACTGGTTGATTAGTGTTTCTAGACAGAAGCATCAAGAAAAAGTCCTTGTGATCGCTGAGGATTACATTACTCTGTATAAAGTCAACGAAAAGTGGCCTGGCCATGCCGTTCTTATTCCTCCTGCGCTCGATTCTAGAACCGCATACAGTTTCGGTTCCCAGGTAAAGTTTTCACCTTTGAGATATCTTTAGCTTTCAGTTCATGAGATCTAGCTGGAACTGTCTTATAGACTCGCAATGAGTAGATTGGCTCATGTGACTTCCATATATTACTCTAGATCCCATCACATTTCCGTTATGGCATTCTTAACCAGGTCTTCATCAGACTTAGATCTTGGATGTTCTTGATTAGCTCTGAGTGATTACTGCGATCATAAGTTTGAGTAGTCCCTAAGGTTTCGGTTTTGAGATGTGTTTACTATTAGATTATGAGTTTCCAAGTTCCAACTCAAAACCTATTAGCAATGAATGGATTGGTCCGTATCCTTTATATTATGATCCTTGCCCAACTTCCGATGTGGGACATAATTCCCAATATATAGTACATCCATGGTTGATCCTATAAAAAAAACAAAAGATGGTCAACTTGTGGATGTAGTAGCAGCCATTTTTCTTTTGGTTCTTGATCGAATTTGAATGATTATGTATACCATGTTTCTCAGTGTGATGAAAGCATATCTTTTTCCTGATTTATTTATCATATCCGATTAGGGTTTCTTCAATTTCACAGCTCGAAGGCCGCAACATCTCTTGCAAATTTTGGAGCTAGGTTACAATGTTATGTACAACGATGTTGATATGGTTTGGTTGCAAGATCCGTTTCAGTATTTGGAGGGAAGCCACGACGCGTACTTCACGGATGATATGCCTCAAGTATGTGCATTCTTCACACATCTTTGGAAAATCTGGAGTGATTTATTTTATCTTATTCTCGGTTGGTTTTTGTGCCAGATAAAGCCTTTGAATCACTCTCATGATTTACCAGATCCGGATCAAAACGGAGAGACTTATATATGTAGCTGCATGATTTACTTGCGTCCCACTGATGGTGCAAAGCTTCTAATGAAGAAATGGAGTGAGGAACTTCAATCCCAAGCTTGGTCTGAGTCCATCCGTTTTAAAGCAAATGACCAGCCTGCTTTTAACTTGGCACTTAACAAAACAGCTCATCAAGTATGTTTTTGTTTCCTCCAAGTTCCATTTCTTCCTTATCTATTTATGAATGTTGGATTTATATATGGTTTTTCTTTTGTTTTGCAGGTGGATCTCTACTTGCTCTCGCAAGTAGCTTTCCCAACAGGAGGATTGTACTTCAGTAACGAGGCATGGGTTAAAGAGACAAAGGGGAAACATGTCATAATCCACAATAACTACATTATCGGTTACGATAACAAAATGAGACGTTTCCATGACTATGGTCTATGGCTAGTCGATGATCATGCTCTTGAGTCTCCATTAGGGAAATTACAGTAAATTCGTATCACGGAAACAATTGTTCATATCTCTCTCTTTTCTTCTTGTTGTTTGATATAAAGAAAGATAGTACCACTGAGTAAACTCCTTATGTTTTTGAGGGTCCTTAAAAGGTAATATGTAAGTTTTATTATATGGCTAACTAGATCATGACCCGTGTTATACAGCACGGGATTAAATATTTTGTATGAATCAAATTATATAATTTGTTTGAAGATATAATATGATAAAATAGTATAATAATATAGTTTGCAAGTGATGCCAGATAATAGTATACGATTTTTATTACTATTTAGATATAATGTTGTATTAGATTGATTTGGTGTGGAAGCTCCATTGACCCATTGGTTTAATATCACCTGTATTATATCGTCTCATATTAATATCGATCCAAACACGTCCTACCATCTAACTCCGTCTCGTGAAGTTAAACATCATTTTGT